CAAATGGGATTGAATTAAACTAAAGAGCTTCTGCACAGCAAAAGAAACAATCATCAGAGTCAACAGGCAACCCACAGAATGGGAGAAAATTTTTGCAATCTATCCATCTGACAAAGATCTAATATCAAGAATCTACAAGGAACTTAAACAAATTTACAAGAAAAGAAAACAACCCCATCAAAAAGTGGGTGAAGGATATGAACAGACGCTTCTCAAAAGAAGACATTTATGCAGCCAACAGACATACGAAAAAAAGCTCATCATCACTGGTTATTAGAGAAATGCAAATCAAAACCATATTAAGGTACCATCTTATGCCAGTTAGAATGGCGATCATTAAAAAAGTCAGGAAACAATAGATGCTGGAAATGATGTGGAGAAATAGGAATGCTTTTTTACACTGTTGGTGGGAGTGTAAATTAGTTCAACCATTGTGGAAGACAGTGTGGTGATTCCTCAAGGATCTAGAACCAGAATTACCATATGACCCAGCAATCTCACTACTGGGTGTAGACCCAAAGGATTATAAATCATTCTACTATAAAGACACATGCACACGTATGTTTACTGCGGCACTGTTCACAATAGCAAAGACTTGGAACCAACCCAAATGCCCAACAATGATAGACTGGATAAAGAAAATATGGCACATACACAATATGGAATACTGTGCAGCCATAAAAAAGGATGTGTTCATGTCCTTTCAGGGACATGGATGAAACCATCATTCTCAGCAAGCTAACATATGAACAGAAAACTAAACACTGCATGTTCTCACTTATAAGTGGGAGGTGAACAATGAGAACACATGGACCCAGGGAGGGGAACATCACACACCAGGGCCTGTCGCGGGGTGGGGGGCTAGGAGAGGGATAGCATTAGGAGAAATACCTAATGTAGACGACAGGTTGATAGGTGCAGCAAACCACCATGGCACGTGTATATCTATGTAACAAACCTGCACGTTCTGCACATGTATCACAGAACTTAATGTATAATAATAATTTTTTAAAAGGACACTGTTAAGAGAATGAAAAGACAAATCACAGATTAGAAGAAAATATTTGCAAATCATATGTCTGATAATGGACTTGAATAAAGAATATACAAAGACCTCTTCAAGAAGACACAAAAAGATGCATCATGAGGCAGTAAGGAAGTCCAAATCAGAACCACAATGAGATACCACTTTACACATACTAGGATACATAAAAATTTTTAAACTGGCAAAACCAAGTGCTGACAAAGATGTGGAGAAACTAGAGCTTTCATACACTCCTGGTGGGAATTCAAACTGGTACTGCCTTTCTGAAAATTCATCTGGAAGTTTCTTATAAAGTTAAAAATATATTTACAATCCTACAACTCCACTCCTGGGTATTTACCCCAGTGGAATGAAATTTTATGCTCACACAAAAACCCTGTATGCAAATATTTATAGCAGGTTTATTCATAACTGTCAGAAATTGGGAAAAAACACAAATGTTACCTCTAGTGAAGAATGGATAAATCAACTGTTGTATATCCATACAATAGAATACTACTTGGAAATAAAAAAGAACAAACTCACCGGGCATAGTGGCTCATGCCGGTAACCCCAGCACTTTGGGAGGCCAAGGCCGAGGTGGGCCTATCACCTGAGGTCAAGAGTTCAAGACCAGCCTGACCAACATAGTGAAACTCTGCCTCCACTAAAAATACAAAAATTAGCCGGGCGTGGTGGCACACACCTGTAGTCCCAGCTACTTGGGAGGCTGAGGCAAGAAAATCACTTGAACCTGGGAGGCAGAGGTTGTAGTGAGCCCAGATCACGCCGCTGCACTGCAGCCTGGGTGACAGAGTGAGACTGTCTCAAAAAAAAAAAAAAAAAAAAAAAACCTCCTCACTCATGCAACATGGATGAATCTCAAATGCTAAGTGAAAGAAACCTAACTCAAAAGATTACATACTGAATGTAATTTATATGACATTATATGACATTCTTGCAATAAAAACAGGACATAAATCAGTGTTTGCCAGGGGCTAGGTGGCAGGGGAGAGGCTGACTACAAAGGGGCACAGAGTGAGGGTCACGGGGGTGATGAAACAGCTCTACAGCTTGATTATTGCTGTACACACACGACTCAATACACTACTCAAAACCTGCAAATTTTATACTAAAAAAGAAATTTTAATGTATGTATGTAAATATCTAAATGTATGTAAATATCTTATTTTTTAAAACATACAAATTTCACACAAAATTAGAAAAACGATTTAAAATTAAAGGGAAAACAAGTTTTGTCTAGCTCAAACCTAACATGAACAACATTGTCCACAACTGTGTTACAAATACATAAAGAATTTTAAGAGTGTATAAATGTAATTTATCAGGAAAGAAAAATGTTTCGATTTAGGGAGCAAGCATTAAGTGAACTGGTAAAATAGTCCTTCAAACATATCATTAATCTGACTGGCAGATTTCCCTGTTTGCGAAAACCTTGCCTTTTCAATGACAACTAGGGAGGCAGGCTGGCTGGTGGAGATGGCTTCTTGGTTTGAATGGGGCTTCTTGGTTTGGATGGAAATGGCTGGCGACCCATGAAACAAGCAGCACTATGTCTGGCACTAAGTAAATAGTAAATAAGCAGTAACCCAGCAACAGTAACAAAACAAAAAAAACCTTATATAACAATTATTATGAATGTATTATTACATGCACCCTGAAAATACGTAAATCTATTAAGTATCCATTTTTAATGTAATTTTTTTGAGACAGGGTGTCTCTCCGTCACTCAGGCTAGAGTGCAGTGGTGCCATCATAGCTCACTCTAAACTGAGCTCCAACCATCCTCCTGCCTCTGCCTCCCAAATAGCTGGGATTACAGGCACATGCCACCATGCCCAGCTAATTTTTTGTATTTTTGGTAGAGATGTGGGTCTCATTATGTTGTCTTGACTGGTCTCCAAATCCTAACCTCAAGAGATCCTCCCACCTCAGCTTCCTACAATGTTGGGCTTACAGGCATGAACCACTGCTCCTGGTCAAAAAGTTGATTTTTTTTTTTTTTTTAAGAAAGAAAAGAACAAATCTAGTTAAAGCAACACCTAGAGATATTTTTTTCTGAAAAGCAAAGCAGTTGTTTAAATGGGTACATGCCTCTCTCTAACATGAAATGTGCTGCCATTCAACATATTTTATGAAAAAAAGTGATGTTTAGCTAGAAAAATGTAAGTTATTACTTAAAAGTTGGCATACAACTTTTAAGTTCTAGTAACTGCTTTGCTATCCACTGTTATTTTGTGGGACTTAACATTCCGAGATTTTTTAAAAATATTGATGTTCTGAAATACTTGTTGCTTGAAACACACATGTTCATCAGCTTTAAACAAAAATAGATTATTCTTCAGAAATGGCATTTTAAGTTCACGCTCTGCTCTGGAGCACTGTATTTATTTTTAAAATCATAAAAAAAAATTCTGAAGACAGGAATAAACCAAAAAAGAGAACAACCAAAAATTATATTTTATGCGATGGAATTTTATAGACAAAATTAAAAGTCCTTGATGATGAGCTGTAACCACATCAGCGTACACCAGGCTTCTGAGCTTCCTGAGTCTTAGGTTCTTCAACTCTAAAAGGTCAAATAAGGATTTTAAAAGGGATTGTTGGTCAGGTGTGGTGGCTCATGTCTGTAAACCCAGCACTTTGGAAGGTTGACCTTGAGGGTGGATCATCTGAGGTCAGGAGTTCAAGACTGGCCTGATCAACATGGTGAAACCCCATCTCCACTAAAAATACAAAATTAGGAAGGTATGGTGGCACATGCCTGTAATCCCAGCTATTTGGGAGGCTGAGGCAGGAGAATCACTTGAACTTGGGAAGTGGAGGCTGCAGTGAGCTGAGATCGCGCCATTGCACTCTAGCCTGAGACTCCATCTCAAAAAGTAATAGTAACAATAAAAGGGATTGTTTATGATGAACTAAATATACAAACATTGATCTGACACAGCACCTCAGAACCTTGTGTGACAGTTTCTTGTAAATAATATTGCGTTTGTACTCAAGAATAATTTTTTCAAGGAAAAAAACAAAAGCCTAGGCCTCAGTTGCATGAATATTCTAGAAGAAAGAAAGAAAGAGAGAGAGAGAAAGAAAGAAAGAAAGAAAGAAAGAAAGAAAGAAAGAAAGAAAGAAAGAAAAAGAAAGAAAGAAAGAAAAAGAAAGAAAGAAAGAAAGAAAGAAGGAAGGAAGGAAGGAAGGAAGGAAGGAAGGAAGGAAGGAAGGAAGGAAGGAAGGAGAAAGAAAAGAAAGAAAGAAAGAAAGAAAGCAGTTGTTGTTGTTGTTGTTGAAAGAAAGAAAGAAAGAAAGAAAGAAAGAGGAAGGAGGAAGGAAGGAAGGAAGGAAGGAAGGAAGGAAGGAAGGAAGGAAGGAAGGAAGGGAGGGAGGGAGGGAAAGAGAGAGAAAGAATAGATATATGGAATATATACGGAAGTTTGTGTTTGGAAAACAAACTTGCTCTTAATTGTTGTCAAGTCTTTTCAAATGAGCAAGCGCCTCTAAAGACAAGGTGACCAACTGTCCTGGTTTGTCTGGAACAGAATAGAGTCCTAGGAAATGAAACTCTTCATTTTAGAACTGAGACAGTCCCAGGCAAATTGGGCCCACGACTGAGGGCATTCTTAGGATCTCTCTAAAGACCAGGCTGATTGAAGAGTAGACAAGTTAAAGCCAAGTTTTCCCAGAATAAACGGGCAAACTATTATCAAACTGGCTTCCTTACCTGTATCTGCAGTGACTGACATCTTACCTTCTTTACCCAAAGTGTTGAAACTGACATTAAGAACAAGAACTACAGAAAAAGACAAAGATTTCCCTTCTTTCCCCTTTACCTTTTTCCCACTTAATGAATTGGAGAACTTTCCCACCGACCATCAATACTGGGCATCCTTTTGAACCTTGACATATTTTGAATCTTGAACCTCAGTGGCAAATCAACTTTCCTGTCATTACTTTTCAGCCCCTGAGTTTTGAAAGCAAGAAAAGCTACACCTTAAAGGTGGAGGGAGCCAATCCTCACCTAGAGATGCGTTTTCTGAACTTGGGCCCATTTCAGGACACAACAACAGTGCACATCAGTGTGGAAGACGTGGACGAGCCTCCCGTGTTTGAACCTGGCTTTTACTTTGTGGAGGTGCCTGAGGATGTGGCGATTGGAACAACCATACAGATCATTTCTGCCAAGGACCCAGATGTGACCAACAACTCAATCAGGTTTTCCAACAGATTTCACCTTTTCATTATATGCTGGACTCTTCCCTTCCCCTGTATGTAATTTTCTAGCACTTTTCCCTTTGTGTCTTTCTTCTCTAACCCATTTCTGGAGACTCTTCTCTTTGAGTTTTTTGTGTTTTGTTTTTTTTTTTTCCTTTAAATAACATGGCCTTGTCAGGTTATTTAGAAGTGTAATTATGTCTACAACTCACTTTCAATTGGTTCAGACACACACACACACATACACACACACACCCTTTAGTTCTCAATCATGGTCCTGTTGACATTTGGGGGTGGATAATTCTGTGTTGTGGTGGAAGGGTTCTCCTGTGCACTGAACCATGTTTAGCAGCATCTCTGGCCTTTACCCGCGAAATGCAGTAGCACTCTCTGAGTTGTAACCACCTAAAATGTCCCCAGGTATTGCCAAATGTCCAGGGAAGTGATGCAAAATCACCCCAGGTTGAGAACTAGTGATTCAGATAAAGTATAATCAGACACACAGATGTCAAAATGTTAAAATCCGTTGACTCTCAGTGGTAAACATAAAGGAAATCATTATGCATTCTTCCATCTTTTATGAATCTTTGACATGTTTTACTTTTTAAAACTGGGGAAAATAATATATACTATATATATTCCACATACCATAGAAAGAGCAGACATAGAAACTACTACTGTTGTCAGTGACTTCAATGCCTTGTAGACTGGCTAGATAGATGGGTCTTTGTATGGCAATACCACATATCTCTCTCTCCAAAGCATGTTTTGGAATTAAAGATTCCAACCAAGATGCTTCCTTTCAAGAAGATGAGAACTACTCTTACAGTCATGGCCATCTCTCATCAGCTGGAATCACAGTACAAATAGCTGATGGACAGGTTGACACCACAACCTTCCAGAGCAGCTGCCAAACTTATCAAGTTTGACACAAAAGATCAGAATTCCAATGCTGTTGGAAGCCATCTGTCACATTAATTGTGGAAAGCCACACAGTAAATTGAATATGGGGCTATAGTGCAGGTAACACATTTTAAACATACCGCAGTTTATCAAATGCCTTTTCTGTCAGCTGGCTACTTCTCTCACCTACTGCTGTTTTGTATTTAATGAAAACGTGCTTCTGCAGTTTAACAGGAATGGCTTTCTCCAGAGAATAACTGTACTAGGGCAAATTCACTTCCTCTAACCAACCAGTAAACATTTTACATGTTCAGGCATTAAAATGGCAAAAACGATTTTGTTTGAATTCTGGTATTTGATTTTTTCAAAGGCAACTAATGTATTACACAACAACTTTAAAGATGTTATATTTCAACCTGAAGCTTTTTAAATATAAACTAGGATAGGGAGAGATTAGTGCAACCATATTATCCCCAAAGCAATCACAATGAAAACAAAACAGATTCTATTGTAAATGTGTATTTGCAGAAGCCAAGAATATATACCTTCTGTCCTAATTTATTAATTATATATGTATTAATCCACCATAGGCTAATTAATCTATTCCTGTAACAGAAAACTGTATGAGAGAAACTTTAAAGAATAAAACTTTCACTACTGGCATGAAGTAAAATGAGGTAGACAAAATGAAGAAATCTTGTCTGACTAACAGAAAATGCTGCTTCAGATGATGGCCAATTGAAAACTATCAGTTGGCCAGCACATGTGTTAGCATCAGGGAGGTTCATATTGGAGTGTCTGGCTACTACACTAGAACCAAGGCAGGATGAATGCAAGAGCAAACAGGCCAGAGGCACAGGGCAGGGTCCACTGGGCTGTTCTGGGGCAGGACTGCAGATCCTGAGATAAAAATTGGTGAGAACAAGGCCACAAGGCCAGAGGTAACAAGACATGGCTCAGGCACAGCGGGTAACGCGAAATTCCAATGATCAGATCTAGGGAAAATTCTCCCTCTGCATTTTGGTTGCAAAGAAAGAGAGGAATTCCTATTGCTATGTATGAGGTTCCTGACTCTTGCACTATCCAACGGCAACAAAGAATGGTCCCTGGACCCAAGAAGAACATTGGGGGTCCTAGACTCCGAGAGAGAAAAGCACCCAAAACTTAACTCTCTGGCTCTCATTTAAAAACCCATTTGGGAATTCCTTTCTTCTGTTATCTTTCACCAAACTGCTCTTCTTATCTTTATTTTTCAAATTAAAGTTGCTTTCTTTTAAAATAATGTGTATAGTTATATGCTGCATGGCTAATTCATCATCTGCATTTTTATTATAAAGAATAAGGGAGGCCGAGGCGGGCGGATCACAAGGTCAGGAGATCGAGACCATGGTGAAACCCCGTCTCTACTAAAAAATAGAAAAAAATTAGCCGGGCGCAGTGGCGGGCGCCTGTAGTCCCAGCTACTGGGGAGGCTGAGGTAGGAGAATGGCGTGAACCCGGGAGGCGGAGCTTGCAGTGAGCTGAGATTGCGCCACTGCACTCCAGCCTGGGCGACAGAGCGAGACTCCGTCTCAAAAAAAAAAAAAAAAAAAAAAAAAAAAAGAATAAACGAGATTTACATTCCTAAAGAGAAAATATCTATTACATAATTCAAAAAATCAACACATCATCTGAAATTAAAATGTTACAGATAAAAGGCCATTTAACAAATTATTAGGACTTTTATAATCTCCTTTCTAGAAAGGTGATGGTGTGTTCAGGAATACATGCTGGTCCCCATTTACTTATAAGCCTCAAAACAAAATCTCCCAATTCAGTGACACGTACACGAAAAGACAATGTTTGGATCTGCTGAATTTTTAATACGTGCTCAAGGACTTTCCGACAAGTAGGCTACTGAGCCATCTGGCAACTGAAAGAGGCTTCTGCTGATGTGGAAACTGCCTGCCCCCTAGTTCCTTTCTAGAAAGTGTGTGGATTTAGCCAGCCTGCTCCTGACACCTCACCTCCAAATTGCTCCCAAATTCAGAGGATGTCCTCAGCTAAGCAACAAGCAGGGAGCCCAGAAAGCACCAGCTACTGCTGGCTCTGGGTAGCTTTGTACCTGCATGATGCCGATTCTGCTCATAGGAGGTTAGAATGTAATGGTTAAGAAAAGAAAACCGCCTACATAATTCACGAGTGTGTCCCAATTTCCTCATTTTCCATCTGTATCTACACCTTTAATTTTTCTCCTGCCTCCTGAAAATTGACCCAGCATCCCATTCAGGGAAATAAAGGCTATCATTCCCTCAACTGAGGCCCCGTTGGGGAAATCGGAGAGGGATTACCCTCGATGAGGGAGGCTTCTCTGAGGAAGGCTCCTGGTGTGTCGCCCGGCAGTGCTGTCAGGGGTCCTGTGGGTTAGTTATTTCTATCACTCCCTCTCCCATGCCATCTGTGACATTTGCTACGGTGCCGTAGGTCTGAGTATAGAAAGCTGTTTTCTCATAGGCTGCCTCTCCCCTCGGCATCATGCCTGTAGCCGGGAGAGCTGGCATTAGGGAGATGGCTCGGAGGACCACATGGCTGGCTCTCTGCATGTGTAGGAGCTGAAAGAGAAGACTGTCATGAGCCACTCAGAAAATTCAATTCTTAAAATAGTAAACTTTAAAGTTAAATAACGATTTATGCTTAAAAAGTCAATTTTAAATGAACTCTGAAGAATGTGTTTTTCTTTATTAAAAAGGCAACTATTCGCTGTCACTCTGATATGGTTTAGCTCTGTGTCCCCCCCCCCCAAATCTCATCTTGAATTGTAATAATCCCCATGTGTCAAGGGCAGGACCAGGTAGAGATAACTGAATCATGGGGGCAGTTTCCCCCATGCTGTTCTCATGATAGTGAGTTCTCACGAGATCTGATGGTTTTATAAGGGGCTTCCCTCTTCCCTTGCACTCATTCGCTCTCCTACCACCATGTAACGGACATGTTTGCGTCCCTTTCCACTACAATTATAAGTTTGCTGAGGCCTTCCCAGCCATGCTGAACCGTGAGTCAAATAAACCTCTTTCCCTATAAATACCCTATCTTTGGTATGTCTTTATTAGCAGTGTGAGAACTGACTAATACACACTCTTACCTTTAAAAGATAAAGTCTTGTTTCCTTAGACAATCTCCTACAGACCATGTATCAGTAAGTCAGCCTGGTGGCTGGGAGCAGAAGCCTGCAGCCAGACTGCCTGGGCTTGATTCCCAGCACTGTGACCTCGGTCAACGGACCTAACCTCTCTACTCCTCACACTTCTTACCTGTAAAAGGAGGACCATGATGGTGCCTACCTCGTGGTGTTATTGTAAAGATTAAATGAGTTCATATAGGCGGTGTGTGCTGAGCAGTGCCTGGCATACAGTGAATGTTCCTTAAATAGGGTCACAGGTCGAGAGAAACATTAATTTTCTTTCTTAAATTTCCTAACTCTTAGGGAGTCATAGCATAAATGATTCTGACTTCTCTAGCCCTTACTCATCAGCTTTCTCTTTAATTCCTAATTCCTAAATAGCCATCCTGAATCTCTGCAGGAAAAAATACATTATATTTGATACATTTTACCAACAATAGATATATATGCACAATACATGTATATGTGTATATATATACACACACACACATATAAAACAAAAGCTTTACATCAATACTTACCCGTATTGCATGTGATAGTCTGGCATGCATATGTTCTATTCTATTTCATTTTCTTTCTATGCTAATCATAACCCACCAAACTGATTTCACAATCCACTAACCTGCATCTGAAAAACAATGCACTATAGTAAAGAAACTGTTTATTCCCTCCAAAATTGCTGCTTCTCCATCTTCACAATGTTTAGATATGGATTGCAATTGCTGGCAACTTTAAAACAAATTTTGAACCCAATAAATTCCCCAGTCCCTATTTAAATAATTTGTAAGAACACAATAGTTATAACTTTGAATATATGGCTTCAAATCAAACACAACAGTTATAACTCCATAAAGATGGCTATAAGTCTTAAACCCTGCAAATTATTCCTTGTGTAATTGCATAAAAGTGTCTTCAGCTGGTTGCAGTGGCTCATGCCTACAATCCCAGCTACTTGGAAAACTGAGGCAGGAAAATCACTTGAAGGTAGGAGTTTGAGATGTTTAAGGCCAGCCTGGGAAATACAGCAAGACTCTGTCTTTTAAAATCCAAAAATACATATTTTAATTATTCAGGTGAGGTGGGACCTGCCTCTAGTCCCAACTACTCAGGAGGCTGAGATGGAAGGATTACTGGAGTCAAGGAGTTTGAGGCTGCAGTTAGTTTTTGGTCATGCCACTGCACCACTCCAGCCTGGGTGACAAGGAGAACCCATTTCTAAAGAAAGAAAGAAAAAAGTGACTTCTTTAAGCCTCAGTTTCCTTATCTGTTGATTGGGATAATAACTACCTCCCAGAGATGTTGGAAAAATTTTAAAAGAAGTTGTATATTAAGTACATAGTAAAGTTTCTGATATTCAGCAAGTGGCAGCTATTGTAATTACTGGTCTTTTAAAAACAGGGTTGTTTTCTTGTTATTGAGTTATTTACATATTTTGGATATTAACCCTTTATTCTATGAAAAGAATATTTTCTCCCAATCTGTGGGTTGTCTCTTCAATCTGTTGATTGTTTCCTTTGTTGTGCACAAGTTTTTAGTTTGATACAATCCCATTGGTCTATTTTTGCTTTTATATGTGCTTGTGGGGTCATATCCAAGAAACCATTGCCCAGACCAACACTGTGGAGCTTTTCCCATAAGGTTTCTTCTAGTAGTTTGATGGTTTCAGGTCTTCACATTTAAGTCTTTAATCCATTTTAAGTTGATTCCCGTATAAGGGGTCAGATAAGGGTCCATTTCCATTCTTCTGCATGTGGATATCTAGTTTTTTCAACACTTTATTGGAGAGACTGTCCTTTCCCCATTATGTGTTCTTGGAACCTTTGTCAAAAATCAGTTAATTGACCGCAGACCCATGAGTTTGTTTCTGAGCTCTCTATTTAGTTGGTTGATGGGTCTGTTTTAATTCCAGCTGTTTTAGTTACTATAGCTTTGTAATATTATTTCAAAATTAGGACAAATGACCCTGTTTAAAAAACGTGCAAAATGCCTGAACAGACCTTTCTCAAAAGAAGACATACAAATGACCAAATGATACATGAAAAAATGCTCAACATCACTAATCATCAGGAAAACGCTAATTAAAACCACAATATGAGATATCACCTTACACGTGAGAATGTCTGTTGTCAAAAACACGAAACATAAGTGTTGGCTGCGGTGTGTAGAAAAAGGGAACCCTTGCACACTGTTGGTGAGAATGTTAGTACGGCCATTTTAGAAAACAGTATGGAGGTTCCTCAAAAAACTAAAAAGAGAATTACCATGTGATCCAACAATCCCATTTCTGGGTATATATCCAAAGGAACTGAAAATCGTATGTCAAAGAATGTCTCCACTTTCATATTCACTGCAGTATTATTCACAATAGCCAAGATACAGAAACAACCTCAGTGCCCATCAACAGATGAATGGGTAAAAATAATGTGGTATACATACATAATAGAATATTCATTTCAGCCTTAAATACTCAATTCAGCTTTAAAAAAGAAAGAAATTCTGTCATTTGCAACATGGATAAGTCTAGATGATATTATGCTAAATTAGTCAAGCACAGAAAGACAAATACCACGTGATCTCAGTTATATGTAGAATGTAAGAAAGTCAAACTCATAGAAGTAGAGAGCACAGTGGTGATTGCCAGAGGCTGGTGGGTAAACAGGGAAAAGAGTCAAAAGGTTCAATGCTACAGTAAGGGGTAGTAAGTTCCTGTGATCTACTGCACAGCATGGTAACTATAGTTCATAACAATGTATTGTATATTTCAAAATAGCTAAAAGATTTTAAATGGTATCACTACAAAAAATAAATACATATGTGAGGTAATAGACATGTTAATTAGCCTGATTTGATCATTCTACAAAGTATACATGTATCAAAATACTACACTGTACCCCATAAATATATATAATTATTACTTGTCAATTAAAAAAATAAAAATGACCGGACATGGTGGCTCACACCTGTAATCCCAGCACTTTGGGAGGCCGAGGCAGGCAGATCACTTTAGGTCAGGAGTTTGAGACCTGACTGGCCAATGTGGGAAAACCCCGTCTCTACTAAAAATATAAAAATTAGCCGGGGATGGTGGTAGGCACCTGTAATCCCAGTTACTCGGGAGGCTGAGGCAGGAGAATCCCTCGAACCCAGTAGGTGGAGGCTACAGTGAGCTGAGATCATGCCACTGCACTCCAGCCTGGGCAAGAGAGCAAGACTCCACCTCAGAAGAAAAAAATAATTAAAAAATAAAAATCATAAATATTACTTAGCCTTTACCAAGGACTACATAAGGTTCTCATTGATGGTTCTCAATCATGGCCACATATCAAAATCCCTTATAGAGGGTTTTTAACATCCACATGCCTAAGCCTCCCTCCATATTTGTTGAATCTTCCAGGTTGGAGACCAGACAAGATAACACAGGTGAAATAACACAACAGAATTGGATTGCCAAATCAGGTTCAACAGGAAATATAGATCTTACCCAGGACCCAGTTAACTAATGGCTGAAATGACACAGACAACAGCAAAATATGAGTCATTCTCCCCTTGGAGAGCTCTGAAACTGTCAGGCACAGATGCCCATAAATGTCCTTTTTATGCATAAAGATGCATGTTGGTCCAGATTGAACATGAAAGGTAGAAGCAACAGACAAAGTGCCTTGCTTGAACACAAAGATCCATTTTTGTGATGGAACATTTGCTTGTTATACAACATCAATTACATAGCTTATATGACATTTTCCGGCAGGCTGTACCCCACAAATTTATAAACTCTAGGTTTATTTACAGGAAACAACCTAGCCAGATCCGGTACATCCTGCTAAAAGCATACCATAGTTTAGGGATCTCCAGCTAGTAAATACACTACCATTATTGTGTTTGCCAGAGGTTGGTCATTAGCATGTTAAGAAAGGGTGTGGTACAAAGCTTTTCTTCTTAATAGTTGATACAAATTATAAGGACTGGAACCACTAAACTATAACCTTTCTCCTTTTCTAGTTTCTGATTAGCATTTGAGAACTCATTTGAATACAATTCCTTTTAAACAAATATATGCAGGAGTTGATACTCAGGATGTCCCAAAATTATTGGGGTAATTCCAAGCATTACATAGCATAAACCATATTTAAATAGCTCAAAACTGCCCCAAGACTGTGGGCACCCTGCTTATTTCGTTTTTTGAATGAGAAAATTGAAGCAATGTTTGTTTTGTTTATTGGAGGAGGAGATGACTTTTGTTTTTGAACAAATAAAACCACGAATGCAGTCTTCCAGTAGCCGTTAACTCAGAAGTGGTAGAACCATGCTTCATATGGTAGGCACTCAGTTGTCTCATGTGGTATGCTGTCATATGCTTATCCAAATGCAAATGATGTATATAATCCATGTTTCTGCAGATACTCCATTGATAGAAGCAGTGACTCTGGAAGATTTTTCTATGTTGACATTACAACAGGTGCCCTAATGACAGCAAGACCCCTAGACCGGGAAGAATTTTCTTGGCATAATATCACTGTCCTTGCTATGGAAATGAGTAAGTAGCACAATAAATTGGTCTCCATGCAGTGACAAAAATGTAGGTGTTATAGAAAGTGGAAGTTTCTAGAACTTGTAACAAAATTATATCTTTTAAGGGAAGAAATGTAAATCATGCTTTATGCAAGTAAGTAAATGCATTCAGTTCAAATACTTTTTTGAGGCTCTCTTGTATACTTAGTCCTGTGCTACAGATAAAAGCAAACAAAACATGGAAAAGCAGTGAAAGACAGCATTCTTATCCCAAGTAGCTATGAGGAAAAGGGAAGACTCCTGAGAAATCTAACAGGCTTTCAATCTTTAATATGATTGTGAATGTACAAAGAGTATAAAATATTACTGTATGAAAGGAAGCATTTATATCACTCTTATTATGCAAACATATATCTATCCATGCCCACAAGAATTTGAGATATCTCACAATAAAAAGCAAATTGATCAACATAATAAACGTATAAATGGTATGGAAGATTAGTAACAACTAGATTAATATATATTACATAAATAATAAAAATTAAGATTATATACCACTATATTCCTTTTTTTTCATACTGGTGATAGTAAAGGCTTAGAGAAATGACAGTCCCTAACCTATTGGCTATATAATAAACAGCCATTCAGGAGGGCAGTTTGGCAATATGTATTGAGATTCTCCAAAATAATCACACTCTTTCAGGAATTCTACTGCTGGTCATCATATTAAGGAAATAATGACAGATATCAACAAAGATTTATATGTGAAAATTTCCACTGCCATGTTATTTTAAAATAGGGAGAAAATGGAAATTACTTACATGTCTAATAATAGGAGATTCAATAAATTTTAGTACAACCTATAGTAAAATGACAATATAATACAGACATCAAGAGCCACGCTTTCAAAACATATTCAATGACAAAGGATAACCTTACCCTAAAATATTAATGTTCTGAATTCAATTTTTCTATTTTGCTTAACTATAACTTGTGTATTGGGGGAAGGTGTATAACTCCAATTTTGGACACCCATGCTGTATAATGTCATATATCTAATAGATATCTCTGGGGATAGGGTTGTGGATCATGTTCATGGATTCATCTATGCTTTTCTGGAATTTTCATTATTCCTTAGACAAACACCACTGTTATAATGAAGAAATAAATCTTAATTTTGCTAGCACATTCTGGTAACCAAGCAATAGAAGTATTTAGGGGGGAAACAGTAGAGCATAGATATGTTTGGGAAAGAAAGTAAGAAAAATATGATTCAGAAGAACAATGCATTTTGGGATTTAGTAAAGTTATTAACCAAGAATAATTTCTGTGTCTTGCAATTTCCGTTTTGGGGTGGTGACCAAAACAGAAAAAGACAGGAGGAGCACTACCAGATCTATGAAATTGTCTCTGCATGGCAGTGACAAGCAAAAGACACAGATCACAAAGACACAGTTTCCCATGAGAGACTATGACCCCAGCCAAAGATATGGATTTGGTGTGTGTTTGATCCTATAATATCCTGTTAGTCCCTAAGCAGAAATAAATGTGCAGTGTTATCTTTATTCCAGTGAATAACTGGAAATAAACCTTTGGAAATGTAATTCAAAGAACTGATGATTCCACAGGAATAAAGCCAAGCAGTGCCACACAGTATGCATCCAATTGGCAATGGACTCTTTTAAAGTCCAGAATATAGAACTGACCTGCCTTTAATTCCAGAACTTGAAGTCTGAGCCAAATGGGAGATCGAAAACCTCTTTTTAAGATTCGTTTTGTGACACTTGCTCCCTTTTTCTCACCCTTCCCTTCATACTGCTGATAGCAAACGGTCACCAACACACACCTTGCTCTGCGCATACTTCTCATATCCAGCCACACTCTTAGTAGGCGACACATGGATCCTATGCTCTTGCTACCATTTCCATGTACTTTATCCACTTCTTTCAAACCCAGACTCACCAGGTAAATACCTACTTCTAGCAAAGACAATTATTGTTTTTTCTTTTTCTTTTGGCATTACTAATCTCTCAGATTTGGTATTCCTTGTGTTCCCTTTAGACAATCCCTCCCAGGTTGGAAGTGTTCCTGTCACAATCAAAGTCTTAGATGTGAATGACAATGCTCCGGAGTTCCCCAGATTCTATGAAGCTTTTGTTTGTGAGAACGCCAAGGCAGGACAGGTAAGGCAGCCTGTAGGTGGTGCACTCTGCTTAACCCCTAACACATAGAAACAATTGTTACAGATAACCAAATTCACCATCAAAGCGATTTTGACTCCAGAAACGAACAGTTCACAAAACAGAGTCCCCAATTTCCGTATATCAGTTTTCAACCATTTATTTGTTAAGACAACTATTTGAGGCTAGGTGTGGTGGCTCATGCCTGTAACTCCAGCATTTCTAGAGGCCAACGCAGGAAGATAGCTTGAGCCAAGGAGTTTGAGACCAGCCTGGGCAACATCGTGAGACCCTGTCTCTAAAAAAACTAAAAAAACAAAAAGACAACTATTTGGAACCTACATTACCTTTTATGGCCTAAACAGCACTTTGAGGGTGGCTTGACGTACAGGACAGCTGTATAAGGTATGTGTCCACCTGGAAACGGAATTGTGTAGCACCAATGGCAGTAACACCTGCTCTGGGGCCTGGAAGTGAGGGACCAAGAAGACCAGGAAAAGGAGGAAGAAGCTGCTCTTTTTCCGAGTGTGGTACCAATTTCTCAAATATTCTGCAATAGGACAAGTTTATTTTCTATATCTTTCCACCTCCCTGTCTTAACTTCTGGCAAGAAGTACCTTATTTAGGGACTGCCTGGCCTATCTCAGAATGCTGCCACCTAGAATGACCTACCCTCTCTCCTCCCTCAATTAAAACACCCATTTTCTTAGTGCTGCTCATGTCAGGTAAGTTTTGAGAGAAAAGTAATCCAAAAGGACAAAGATCTACTTATTTGAAATCTAGCTCCATAATCTTCAGAGATATACATTCATATATTTTTTAAAGTATGCCCTTAAACCTAACTGAATATTTAGTTGATCACATTCTAAGTGGTGTAACTGAGAAACATCTGGAACTCCGTTTGGAGTGCCCATGTAGCAATGCATGTGTCAGGCTGTTGCCCATCCTATAATTTGTCCATCTCCTCCATTCTGCTCCTGCTTTTGTAAAATGCTTTCCTCCCCTGCCTATGACCCAGCAACCCAACAGATCCCCTAACAGCCCTCATTTGCTCCCCTTCTCCACCTCAGAATATCCTGTGGTCCTGTGGATGCTGGTGCTGGATCAAATGGGCTGAAATGGTTTTAACATGAAAGCTGGGGAAGTACAAATTGGTAAGGCAGGGGCTCATGCATTGGTAATTCAGGCCTCTGACTGTAATCTAATTTTGCCTTCATGTATTAGTCCATTTTCATGCTGCTGATAAAGACATACCCAAGCCTGGGTAATTTACATTCCATGTGGCTGGGGAGGCCTCACAATCACGGTGGAAGGCAAAAGGCATGTCTTACATGGCAGCAGGCAAGACAAAGAGCCACGTAAAAAGGCAAACCCCTTACAGAACTATCAGACCTTGTGAGACTTACTCACTACCACAAACACAGTATGGGGGAAACTGCCCCCATGATTCAATTATCTCCCATCAGGTCCCTCCCACAACATTTGGGAATTATGGGAGCTACAATTCAAGATGAGATTTGGGTGGGGACACAGACAAACCATATCACTTCACTTCTCACACTCCCTCGTAGTAGTACCTCCAGCATCTTTTTGCGCAGAGAGACTAGGTCTGCATAACCAAAACTTATGTTAGCTCCCTGAGCTCACCAAAGAGGGACTCAACACATCTTTACCATTTACTCAGCCAAAGCAAAAAGTGATTTACATCCCTCAGGGGAAGAAAGATGTTCCATCATGATTCTGATCTAGATTTATCTATCAATCCTTGAAATTTGGTATAATGGTCGATAGCTCTCCTAAAAAAAATTCTTCTCAACAAGTCTAGGATAATTCTCTTTCCACATCTAGTGAATTTCTAGATTAGTAAGACATGAAATATTATACAGCTAATAAAAGTTACGATGCAGAATTTACAGCACAAAAAATGATCTGTGTTATTATAAGGGAGGTATATAAACTACACATACATGCTTGCAGTCATGTAAAATTATGACTGTAAGTAAACAATGAGAGGGAAGATGCAAAAATAGTATAGTTACTATGCTAAGGTAGTTGAGTTTAAGTGAGGAGGTTTGGGTCTTTATTTTAATAATTTTTGTTTTATGTCATAAAATTTACATATGTAATATAAACTTTTATGTTATAAAATTATATGAATATTTTGTTATGACAAAATAAGCTAATTATAATCTATAATACAAAGAGGGTGATAAGCAGCAGAGTAAATTAAACCTCCTTCCCCCCAAAATAAAGCACCCTCTTTTAAAGGGCTTCAGAGTAGGTGAGGTTGCATTCTGACAAGTGAAGAACATTTTAACTACCTCTCCTGTTTCTGTAGTCAAACAAACATAGTCCCCATTTCTAAATGCATCTTTTAATAGTCTGTTATATAGTGATCTGAAGTACAGATCTGCCACTTCAAGTTCAGTCTGTCCCACTGTCACCTTTAGGCCAGGACACTGAACATCTTACCCTTTGATTTGGGCTCTGGGAAATGTTTTGAAGATTGTTCAAAAGCATGCGGCTCAGAGATATATCTGGTTTATAAAGAATCAGTCCTCCTTGTGTTTACTTGTTGCACACTGTTGTCGGCTTCATGTCTGACAAGTCCACATACATGCTTTCCTCTTGGTAAGCAGCCTTGAAGGAAGCCCATAAAGAAATCAGATAACATACTTGGTGATGGCCAAGGGCGGAATGAAACCAGCTGAGCAGAATACTGCATGACAAGCGGGGCTGAGGAAGAAATCTGACCTGCCGGGAGAACAGAGAGCAGGAGAGCAGGACATGCACTCCCAATCCAGACTTAGCGATTTGTGTCTTCACTCACTCATGCTTTGACGCCCTGTAAGCAACCAGCTCTGTGCCTCGGTCCCCAATCTCAACAATATATTCACAATACGCAGGCCAGATATTCTGAAATGACTTTCCCAACAATGTTTATCAAGTTATGTAGAATCACCTATGTGTAACATGCCTCAAGAAATATGTTACCTCTATATGTGTTTGGCGCTACAAGCAAGCTGAAAAGTGCCGGCTCTGTATCCAGGCAGGGACAGGACGGGAGGGTAATCCTAGAGTATGAGCAGCACTGATACAGGGATAGGCTGTGGGCAAGCTGATCTCCATTATTCTCCTGACCCTTACCTTCCTGGCAACTCCATTCCCCCTACTTTCAGGTTCAACAGTTGGGGTCTCCAGGAGGCATACCCTGAGATGGAGTTCCAGGATAAGGTGTTTATTAAGGAGGGCCCTTAGGGCCAGCAGCTGTGTGAGGGAAGCAAAGGAAGCAGAACTGGGTAAAAGAAGTCCAGCTGCCATGCAGACTCACTAACTGCCTCAGCTGACTTCTCAGACAGTTCCAGAACTGGAGTTTCCCCAAGTTGAGATGGGATAGCCAGACCTGTATACTACCACATTAATTAGTCACTGGATGTCTGTCGCCCGGGAAGGATGTGCTGACCATGGGCGTCTTAGTCAGTTTGTACTGCTATAAAGGATTACCTGAGGCTGGGTAATTTATAAAGAAAAAAGGTTCATTTGGCTCATGGTTCTGCAGGCTGTACAAGAAGCATGGTGCCAGCATGTGCACCTAGGGAGGGCCTCAAGCTGCTTCCACAGTTGGAGGAAGGGGGAAGGAAGCTGACATGGGCAGATCACATGGTGAGAGGAAGCAAGGCAGGAGGGGAAGGTGCCAGGCTCTTTTTAACAACCAGCTATCACAGGAACAAATAGAGTAAGAACTCAACTCATTACGAGGAAGAGGCACCAAGACAATGACTCCAGCACCTCCCACCAGGCCCCACCTCCAACAATGGGGATCAGATTTCAACATGAGATTCAGTGGGTTCAAATATCCAAACCATAGGAGTGGGTAGGTGGCTGTCTGCAATTGGCAATCCCCAAAGGGATTGGTAGGTGATAACTAGGGGAAAAGACCTTCATTGAAGGGGGATCTGAGCAACACTGTCCAAAAGGCCCCCTGATGGGAGTTCCCCCAACTACCACCCCCAGTCATTTAATCTTCAGCATATTGTGAGGGTAGCTTTACCTCCTCTAATTTACAGATGAAGAAACACAAACTAAGCAAGTCCACCTGGGCCCTCAAACCGACCTTTGACGTCCTGGTAGAAGCATAGCTGGCTATTAAACAGCAGGAGTGGCAAGTCTACGGGGCTGGGCCCAAGATGGGTAGGAGTAGTCTGTGCTGCTGCTTGGTAGGAGAGGAAACACATATGAAGGAGGCTGCCATTCAATGGCTCTTCTGTATCCTCCTCAGCCTGCCAGCTCCCATTTCAGTAGTCTGTTTCACACAGATTTCTTTAACAGCTTTTAGATCATGGTCTCCATAGACTTCACGCAACTTACTCCTTTGAAAAACATTATGGAAAAGGCAAAACTTGGCCAGTGAATCCAACAGGAAGCCACCTGACCTCCTGCTCTCCCCACCCCCAAGTTCTGCTTCTGACTCCTGTCTATTCTGCATTTCCACTCTGGGGATCCTGTGCTATCTTTGCTAGCTCTCCCTCCTGCCAACAAAATGTGACTCCCTGTGACCCATTCCCTCAGGTCTGTTTTCTGTTAACCCAACATGGCCAATGCCAATGTGTCACTCACTTCTCTTCAGGTCATGGTCATTCTTAAACAGGGGCTTCTCAAAGACAGCAATTTAGCCCTGAAATATTGGGTCAGTGATGAGGTTAAGTAGACGAAGTGAGAAGAAAATATGGGGTCAAGCAGGACTTTGCGGCACCTGAGCCCTTTAACTCAAAGTCTCTTACTTTTTAGACTGCCTAGAAACGGCTGCCCATGGTGGAAGAACATATGTTATATTGATGTCTAACATCTGAAGTATTTAGGTAACATTTATCCTATGCCTACTAACATACTCAAGCCCAACCCTAAAGCAAAATCAAATCCCGAGGTGTGTGATGGCATAGAGACTGTGCAGGGAAGTTTCACACGGAATGGGAGAGTTCCCTTACCCCCCTTGCAGGACAGGAGTGTGCCCCGCTGCTCAAACCCCTAGGGGAAGCATGTAGACGGGCAGGTGCAGAAGCCATGGGGAGCGCTTTGGGCTCTAGCCCCACAGCAGCGTCTAGGACTCCGGAAGCCCAAGTGGGCATGTGTTACAGTGTGCTCTCTCTCAGCTATGCCTTCTGCAGATGGCCTGTATTAGCTCAACAGACCCTGTGCCTTATCACAAGGACAGAGGGCCGGTGTGACAGCCTGAGTTCTTGCCCAGTGAACTGGAAGAATCAGATCACACATGGGCTGGAAGGTTGAGTGCAACATTTATTGAGTGGTGAAGGTGACTCTTAGTGAGATGGATGGGAAGCTGGAAGCGGGGGATGGAGTGGGAAGGTGTTCTTCCCCTGGACTCAGGCTGCCCAGTGGCCAGACTCTTCTCCGACTGTCCTGGGCTGAACTCCCCTTGTCATCCACATCATTCCACCATCGCTAGTCTGCCAGCGTCTGCTGGTGTGCTCCTCTTCTCCTCTCAACACCCAGCTGCTTGTATCTGTGGCTGCTAAGGTCTCGGGTTTTTAAGGGTACAGAATGGGGGGAGTGGCAGGCCAGAGTGGTCTTGGAAAATGCAACATTTGGGCCCAAAAACAGGAGTTCCTATTCTCACTTAGGTCCGTGAAGCCCTTGCCAGGGACCCTGCCCTTCTCTACCCAGCATTTCCCTGCCCCTCTCCCATATCAATGATATCCTTCCATTAGGTAAAACGACCCACCATCGCATTTCCAGGTTTGGGATTTAACTGGGCCCTGGTGCTTTTTCCTTTGGCTCCAGCTCACCTGATTTCATGTCCCTCCCTCAGCTGATCCAGACAGTGAGTGCAGTGGACCAAGATGACCCACGCAATGGTCAGCATTTCTACTACAGCTTGGCTCCTGAGGCTGCTAACAACCCCAACTTTACCATAAGGGACAACCAAGGTAATCAGGTGGATGGTTGGCTATCTATGCTTTTCTACAGCATAGGCCAGCTACTTTGGGTTATGGTCTTATGCAAATAGTGTCAAAGGCTACCTGCTCTTTACCAGCAATCCTCAAGCAATCCTCCCATCTCAGCCTCCCAAAGTGCTAGGATTACAGGCATGAGCCACTGCACCCAGCTTCACAGAGTCTTTTAAAGTTTTGTTTCAGAACAACAAACTCGGAGAACCCTTTGCCAACTCTAAAACTCCTTCAGTCAGTAAGTCGACAGATGTTTACTGAGTACCTGTCCTGTGCCAGAAACACTGCAAAGCACAGAGGCGAAATTCTTCATTTCCACTGGTAGCAGCCCTGTTCATACGTTCTGTAACAATGGGAAAAATCTGAGAAAGACAGAAAGTGACCTAGATTTAAAAAAAAAAAAAAAGAAAGAAAGAAAGAAAGAAAAGGAAAAAAAAAAAACGCTGGGGGAATATTTCTAGGCAGAGATCAAAGCAGGAAACAGTAAAAAGCTCTCCAAACAAAAAGGAGACAAAGGATAAGTAATAGAGATAAGAAAGGGCAAATACAGGACCATGAACACAGTTTTGGCACTGAAACGGCTTTATCATTTTAGGATGATTTAGAGACACACTTTCAGGTAGGGTTCCCTATCCAGAAACTGCTCCCCGCTATAGCTTTGATGGAACAGAATTCTAGGCCCCGCTTTTCCAATGAGCATTCAGACCAGCTAAGGTGCTCACAGACCCAGCACACTCTTCTTTGGGCACAGATGGGAAAAGGAAGGATTTCTGTTCTCTAGCCAGATGATTTGCTTCAAAAGAAAAGAAAAGGTCAGGGCAATGGAAAAAATAAGTTAAACTGTCAAATGAACCTCATCTGTTGCTAACTCTACTGCCAACTAGCCATCTGACCCTGGGAAGGTTATCACTTCTCCAGACTGCAATAGCCTCATTTTCATTCCAATTCTAAAATATTTATTGCCACTTTGTAAAAAACTAAGCAAAGAGTAACAAAAACTCATGATCAGGTTAGGCACACCTGGTTTTAGTTTCAAATATCAATTATTTGAGATTAAAAGTATTACTTCAACCCCATATGACAGTTTTCTGCTGTAAAACTTAAGAATCTCAAAACTGATTTCTTCTAAATGGGAAAGCATTCTTCTAAGTCATCCCTTCAACCTCCTACATGTCATCATAAAACTACTATAATAATTCTGGAAGGAATGGCAGTATGAATTATAAAGACAGAAATACTTCGATTAAATATCCTGAAGTTTTTATTGGGTCAAAATTTTGAACTATTCATTTATCTGCTTCATAGGGAAAGTATTTCAGCAAAAAGTGGTTTCAGCCTAGGACTGGCTTTACAAAGGCAATCCTGGGGGGGAAGAATAACACATTGTAACACATTATATTTTTTCTTCAACTGTTCAGCTAAGCTATCATTCTAATGAGTGAAACAAAATGCAGCAAAATGCTGCAAATTTCTTAAAGATGACTTTGGGCACCAATTTATGGAACCAATTCCTTAAAAAGATGGGCCACCGGCACTGGATGACTATAATAAGACGTGACTCATCTCTTGGAAGGTTTCCCAAAACAGAAGTCAGCACATCTTCAACAGAAACCATGAACTCTTAATCTCCAAATGACAATTTATACCACAAGTATCCTTTACTGAGGCTCATTTTAAAACTGACCAAGTCTAGGCACAGTGGCTCATGCCTGTTACTCCAACACTTTGGGAGGCTAAGGCAGGAGAATTGCTTGATACCAAGAGTTCAAGACCAGCCTGGGCAACACAGCAAGACCCTATCTCGGCAAAACATTTTTTTAAAAATTAGCCAGGGATGGTGGCACACACCTGTAGTCCCAGCTAGTTGGGAGCCTGAGGCAGGAGGATCACTGGAGGCCAGGAGTTTGAGACCAGCCTAGGCAACACATTAAGACCTCATCTCTACAAATTTTTTTAATTAGCCAGACATGGTGGCATGCACCTGTAGTTCCAGCTACTTGGGAGGCTAAGGTGGGAGGATCACTTGAGCCCAGGAGTTCAAGGCTGCAGTGAGCTATGATCAGACCACTGTACACCAGCTTGGGTGACAGAGTAAGATCCTGTCTCTAAAAAAAACCCAACACAGCAAAAACTGACTAATATAGGGCAGATCTCCTGTCAACTACCTCTGTTCCCATGCCTGAAACATAAAGTCCTTTTATGAACACAACAGGGCACTATCTCCAGTAAAGCCTTTTCTTACTTTTCAGCCCCAAAACATTATGAAAAGAATTATGTATATATAGTACTTTACAGTTTCAAAAGTATTTTCCCATAACTTATTTGATATTTACAATAATACTGTGAAACTTTAAGGAAGTTATTAATCCTTCTGATTCTTATTATCCCATCTGATAGATGAAGAAAGTAAGCAAATGGCCCAAGACCAGAGAATCAATAAGCATTAAAATTGGGGCCAGAAATCGGGTCCTGTTTTACCATGCCCACCCACCACACCCCACCCCACACACACAGTGTTCTCTGTCACCTTAGGAAAGAATGCTGTTTCCAAATAAGTTACTAAAGCCCTAATTATCACATTCAACAAAAATTGTCCAAGTGGCTACTATATGCCAGGTCCCTTCTAGCACTGGATTCAGCAATGTGATGCTCTGATATTTTTCTTTAATCTGAAATAATTCTTAGATCAAGAAACATATATGTCATAGATATAATACTTCTATGAATTTCAGCTCTAGTCAGACTTTCTAAAAGTCTTACGACCTCACCTGGACTAAACCAAAAAAATAAAAGTTCTGATTAGAGAAAAACCTGCTTTCTGAAAAAACAAACAATTAAAACTACAAAGTAGAATTGACACTACTTAGCTATTAAGTCTGGAAAACAGAAAGGTTCATGGGTTGTGTGGTAGGTGGAAATATGAATATAATCCTCAGGGTGGCATCCCTTCTCCATTGAGAAGAAAATAAGAAGCAGCCTGTATCAAAGCAGGAAGAGATTATGCTTATCTGAATTTTTTTGACAGTTAACATTACTAAATAAGCAGTTATATAGCATAATCAAAGGTGTGCATGTTTTGGAGACAGAGAGACCAGAGTTCAAATCCCAGCTCTGCTACTAACTAGGTTAGTGGCTTCAAACAAATTATAAAATCACTCTAGGCCTTACTTCTATTTCTGAAAAGGAGTGAGATTATTACTATCTCCAAATTGTGAAGATTGAGTGAGATACTGCACGCAAAGTGCAGGTACGTGGCACATGAGCCTTTAGTAACAATAGCCGTTAGCATCAAAAGCAGGTGGAAAAGGGAAAGTTAATTAAGGGGTAATGTGTTACTCAGAATAGCCCAAGTTATACTACAGGAACAACTACCACGAAAATCTCAGTGGCTTAGCACAACTACAGTTAATTTCTTGCTCACATTCAGCCTACTGTGGGTCTGAGCTCAGTGTCCCAGGCTGCCCCACTCTGCATCTCACACCTTGTGGTTCTTTCTCAGTAACTACAGCAAGGAAAAAGCATGGAGACTCATACATCAGCTCATACAGACTTCTGTCTAGAAGTAACACAAATCACTATTGCTCATCAACTAAAGGAAATCACACAGACATATCCACATTTAAGAAGACAGAAAAGTATAATCCTTTATTATGTCCAAAAAGAGAAGAAGAACCAGAAATATTGACGATCACTAATAATGTTTTCTTAGGTTAGGCTCTCAGAATTTTTTGTGATGTTCTCGACTCTTTCCTATGAAATATGAAACACATCCATGGGACCTCTGTGTTGGTGGTATTAGCTTTAAGACTCACTTCTTCTGTAATCCCAGCACTTTGGGAGGCCGAAACGGGTGGATCACGAGGTCAGGAGATTGAGACCATCCTGGCTAACACGGTGAAACCTTGTCTCTACTAAAAAATACAAAAAACTAGCCGGGCGAGGTGGTGGGCGCCTGTAGTCCCAGCTACTCAGGAGGCTGAGGCAGGAGAATGGCGTAAATCCAGGAGGCGGAGCTTGCAGTGAGCGGAGATCCAGCCACTGCACTCCAGCCTGGGCGACAGAGTGAGACTCCGTCTCAAAAAAAAAAAAAAAAAAAGAATCACTTCTTGTATGTCCTACCACATCTCTCAAATTTTTCCTCTGCTTAAAATAAACCGAGCTTTGCAAAAGTATATCTACTTCAGAATTCAAACCTACTCCAGGAAACCTGAGAATGTAGATTTTAAAAATGAACACTCCCACAACACAGTATGTGAATATAAATGTAAACACACACACGTACACATCCCAACTTTGTAGAAAATACGTAATAATTTCACTAATCCCCTTTAAAACTGGAGGAAAGATTTCTAGTATTGATCAGGAACAAATTTTCAACAAGTTCATATTAACTGCTTAAAGTTAGACCACCAACTCAGGAGAAATAACAAGGTGTGTCATATGATTAGGAGATTTCAAATAAGTTTCTACTAAATAAGCAGGTTCTTTACAAAGCACAGGAGTTGGTGACTGCATTTCAGAGGCATAAAAGAAAATAGTAAAAGACATGAATTCCAGTCAAGGTGGCAAAAATAAGCAATCTGCCACAGCCACATGGGCTCCTCAGCATTCTTTTGCTGGAGGCACAAAGCAGCACTGGGGCCTTGGCAAGCTGCTGAGCAGGAACAAACAGGGACCACAAGTCACCAGTGATTGTTCTTTTCTGTCAAGCTTTCCCAGGGACATTTTTGTTAGATCTGAAGTCTGACAGTTTGCCTTGGGCACTTTATGTCACAAAGGATAAGACAGACTCAAAAAAAGGCTTTCTCTTCCAAGCCTCAGGGTTTTACCTAAAAGCAAGCAAAAAGCCTGGCTTCTGAATCCAAATGCTGATCCAGGCAAACCCGCCCATGGCTGACCACTACCAGGGAATATCTGACTATCCTCTTTCCTTCTTACTCCCTGCCCCTGCCCCCTTGCTTTCCTCAATCCAAGAAATTAATTAATCTTCCCTTTTCCAATCCTGGAACCCCTCCTTCTTTCAGATAACACAGCACGGATTCTAACCAGGAGGTCTGGTTTCCGGCAGCAGGAGCAGAGTGTCTTTTACCTGCCTATCCTGATAGCAGACAGCGGGCAGCCCGTGCTGAGCAGCACAGGCACACTGACCATCCAAGTGTGCAGCTGTGATGACGACGGCCACGTCATGTCCTGCAGCCCAGAGGCCTACATGCTCCCAGTCAGTTTGAGCCGGGGTGCCCTCATTGCCATCCTGGCCTGCATCTTCGTCCTCTTAGGTGAGTAAGGGGCTGCTTTCCCTTCTGTGGAGTCCTGCCAGTGCTCACTCAGACATCCATTCATTACCTTCCTGACACAGCTATTTAGAACTGATCCTCCACGCCTTGCTTACTCAAAAGGTGGTAGAGTGAGGCTGCAAAAATACAGTAAAGAAACTGAGGACAGTCCCTTCTTCAAGGTGTCTGTGGTAAGACCAAAGCACATATACTTACGAAGTATCTACTATGAGCTGGGGCACCATACAAGGTGCTAGGATTAATAAAACAGACACATCCTGGCCTTCCTGAGTTTACTTCAGAACAAAACAGGTTCGTTTTGACATCATAGAACCAAAATTACAATTTAGACAGGATTTGATGATCACCTCCTCTAACCCCTTCATTTAAGTAATAGCTAAGTCACAAAGGGGTAAGTGACAGGCTCAAAACCAAAGTCAGAGGCAGAGCCAGGGCTGAAATGCAGGCAGGTCATACACACTGGGCACCCCTGTGGCTCAACAGCACTGCCTTTCTCCTAAACGCTCATCCCGATTCTGGAGGTGGTATTACAGGGAAGGGAAGAGGGATAAGGTATCCTGGTTGGACAAGTGACAGGGATAGATGCCATTTCAAACAGGGTAGTCAGGGAATTCCTCACTGATAAGACCTTTGAGCAGAGAGCTGAAGGAAGTGATGGTGTGAACCACACATATTTCTGGAGAATAAGCTGTTTGGGGTGATTAGTACCCCTCCCAGGCACCATGGCCATCTAACCAGGAACGGCAACTAAACAGGGTCAGTTTTCCTCTGCTGACGAAATAAGGGCATTACAGGCCAGTAGTGGGAGAGCACTACTGGGGTTAAGGAACCCTTCCTTCCTCCTCTCAAGCATACTGCAAGGCGGCTCCCCAACTCCCTGGTATGTAAGGCCATCCTTGCAATTGTTTTCTAATTCCACACTCAAAAACGGAGAAACAAAAACACTTAAACCAACTCTTGCAAAAAAGAAAATATCTGTACGTATATCCTTGCTCTTCTTATTGAACCAATCTATAGCAAATATATCTTGCTTAGAGAAAAACAGATTTAGTAGATACTAGTATTATTCAATATAAAAGAAATCTGAGTTTTCTGAGAGAAAAAGCCCTGAGGATTGAAATTAGAATAGAAGTACAGATATTCACATACACCCTTGATCCCAAGTTCACCTCTATACCAAGAGACAGATCAAAGAAAGAAGTTCCCGTGAAAAATGTGGGCACTTGATTTTCTAGGTAGGTCTGTGGAATGTGCTTCTTAAAATACATATAAAAATACAACACGTGGTTTAATTTTGTTTTTTTTTTGGTTCAGCCCTATTCAAAGAGAGAAAGAGTATAAATAAGTAACCTTTCTAAGTTCTTGGATCCCTGTGTCAGACAAAATTGTTACGGTTTCTGGACCCTGACTGCACTGACAAGCAAAACCTCCCTGCAATTCCTTGAGTTTCCATAAGGTGGCATTGGGGGTCCTTGAGTGCAGAACTGGACAACCTGTAAGAGGCCTTTGAAGAAACTTGTTCCTGGGAGAAATTTCCAGACTAGCTGTCCTTACTTCTATCTTTGGAAAATGTCAAAGTTAAAAGTTCACTCTGGCCCACAAAAAGCCATCATTACAGAAATACTGATTTAAAGAGACTGGCTTGGAGAGGCTCTCAAGTTAAAAATGGTGTGCAAGGGACAATTTATTTTATCCCTCCCCACCCATGATGATGTCTTGCCTTTTGAACTGTACAGAAAAAGTAAACTGTTTTCAGGAGCTAAATTGAGCAAAGCCGTCATAAAATCCTCACAGTTTCAAGTACTCTTACTTCTAAGAGTACGCATCCCACATTAAGAATAATTCATGAAACTTTAAGATTTGAGTTGCATTTGTCAACAAAATACTACATTTTATGGACAACTAAATTAATTCTGACTTCGTGGGGGTTTTTTTTATGTCTCACATATTTATTGTAGTTCCTAGAAAATCTCATAAGCTCTATGCACCATGCCTCCAGTACCCAAAGAATAAACCATCCCTAGAACTAATTCTCTTCGGTCAGAGAAGCCTTTCAGCTAAATAAGACCATTTTCCTCAAAATCTGATTTTCAGGACATTATATAATATTTGTTATTTAAATTAGATTACCTAAAAAAAAAGAAAAAGAAAAGACATGTAGCAATCTTTATTTTTCAAGAAACGGACTAGTTCTATATAAACGGCCTACTTCTCCATGACCATCAGAATTCTCTCCAGCAAGGTACTCAAAAGACTTCCAATTTTGCTTCCTAGCATTTTCCGAAATACTACCCCTACCACTTCAAGGTCACCTCTGTGAAGCCCTTCTCAGTCTCCCAAGTAAAATTCACTGGCCCTGACTCTGTACTCTCCTGGTGACACTTGTGGCTCTAATAGCCCTTATCACTGTCTGACTTGCATTAATTATCAGCATCCATAATCTCCTTAGATTACAAGCTCGCAAGAGCAGAATCCATGTCACACTCAATATTGTTTCCCCACTGCTTAGCATAGAGCCTTAAAAATATTTGGGTTTAATAACTTTACTGAAATACAGCATGCTCACTTCGAACCTCAGGTCTCCAACTTGCATCAATCCAAATCACACTCCAACCTTTCATGCTCGATTCAAGCCCTCACTTCCTTAAAGTCCTATTAGTCTCTTTTTCTCTAGGAATCCCACCATCCTTTTAGTCCACGCCTCGTATTTTTGCACACAGAGAAAATATACACAAGCATATCATCGTTTCCTGTGTATGTTTTGTCACCAAAGCTATCCGGGAAAATATTACGTATTAATGTCAGTAATCGCAATTTATAAAAAAGCACATCTACATTCAAAAAAATTTTTAAATCATTGTTGTGAGTTTTATTAGTCTGTAATCCTTTACTGCATGTATGAATGTACTCCACTTTTTCCCCTTGGATGAACTGGGGTCTTATTCTGCAGTGCTGTCAAACTGTCACTGTTCACTAGCTGTAACAAAGCACACCAGAAAAAAAAAAAAAATCAATAGCAGTTCTACAGCTAAAACCTCAACACTCTTCCTGGAAAACGTTTTCAGTCAGAGAGATAAATAGCTCAATGGGATTATCTCTATCTCTCCTTCAAACCCCGGTGAACACATTCTAGGGGGGAAAAAAATGCATTTGCTGGGATAAAATTTTATCCAAACCTGCAGCGGCACATCTAACAGTGTGGTGTTTCTTTAATAACATGATGAATTATATAAAATGCCACTGCTCATTCTCTCCCTTCCATAAACACCCTTGGGTCCAGAAAGCCACAACCGCCTCTCTAATGAAAGGCTTCTCTGAGTTTACTGGACCCCAAGGATCACTTACGTTCTGTTGTTTTTTAGAGGTCTAAAAAGACTACAGCTTTGGCGCATACTTAGTATTTGTATCTCAACGCATATTAAGATATGATTATATACAGAGTAGAACCCTATTAAGATGTTAATATAAGGAAGCAGCATTCCCCCTACATAAGACTTCCACATTCCACATTATAACAGGAGAAAAGTATATTTACCATCATATAAACAGAGCACATGATCTTAGTCCTTAGAGTATGTTGGTCCGTAACAGGCCTTTGTGCTTTGTTAATTGGATTTTAAATTGGGTGTAAGGTGTAGAGACACACACAATTTCAAAACAGCACGCCGATGTTAAGAGACTATACGCAATTTTTTCTAATTAACCCATTTAAAGAAATACAGGGCTTCACCGTCCACAACTCGACTTACAGAAAGAGAACAAGGTGGACTTAAATTAGAATTCCCCGAAGTTTCAGATACCCAAAAGCTATCTGAGCTCTCTCCACTCGGTAGCTCTTCCCCTAACCGTGGTCAATCAAGACTGTTTCTACTCACCGCACACACAGCCACATCTCCTCGGTAAACAGACTCTCCTTTTTCTTCCTGGCAGTGCTGGTGTTGCTCATTTTGTCCATGAGGCGCCACCGGAAACAACCATACATCATCGACGACGAGGAAAATATCCACGAGAACATCGTCCGCTATGACGACGAGGGCGGCGGCGAGGAGGACACCGAGGCCTTCGACATCGCGGCCATGTGGAACCCCCGGGAGGCGCAGGCCGGGACCGCCCCCAAGACGCGGCAGGACATGCTGCCCGAGATCGAGAGCCTCTCCCGCTACGTGCCTCAGACGTGCGCAGTGAACAGCACCGTCCACAGCTACGTGCTGGCCAAGCTCTACGAGGCCGACATGGACCTGTGGGCGCCGCCCTTCGACTCCCTTCAGACGTACATGTTCGAGGGCGAAGGCTCTGTGGCGGGGTCGCTGAGCTCCCTGCAGTCGGCCACGTCGGACTCGGAACAGAACTTCGACTTCCTGACGGACTGGGGGCCCCGCTTCCGGAAGCTGGCCGAGCTCTACGGGGCGTCGGAGGGACCCGCGCCGCTGTGGTGACGGAAGCCAGGAGGCAGGCGCGCGTCCAAATCCAGACGTTCTCCGCGGGTGCTTCGCGGACAAGGTGCAGCCGACCACACGAGCAATACTGTGCTGGAGAGTGAGAATGGGGGAGAGCGGGCGAACAGAGCTCTCTCTGGATCAGCTTTACTTGGGTAGATTAAGTTAAATAAGCAAAAGGAAACCCAGGAAGTAGAGGGCAGAATCTTCAATTACCTTTTTTTCTTTTCTTTTTGATTTTTCTGACACTGTGCGAAGGCCTGGAGTCCAACGTGTTATGACAAGGGTGACTTTGCCATTCGCTAAGGCGTTTGTCGCTTTTCCACCACAGAAAGGCTCTGGCCTTGGATACAGAGATGCCATTTGAAAGCAGAAAGTTCTACTCTCATATCTGTTTTTTATCTTATTCTCCATTTAAGAGTTTTGCTGGCTCATCAAACCACAGATACCAACCCACAAGAAAGAACAGAAAACTTGTTACTCAGTGAAATTAACCTACTTGTTCTGGGATGGATGAAATTTATCGTAACCCTTTTGAGACAAGGTTAAAACTGAATCAGCCTTGCATGGGGGTGGATGGGTGGGAGGGTGGGTGAAGGAAGAGACATCGACTTTATGCTCAAGTTTAGTGGCTGAACCAAGAGATGTTGGCATTACAGCTCATCCAACGCCATCAAGTTAGAGTGCTCGCGTCTCCTCTCAGCTCTTTAACTGTGCCCCTGCAAAATTGTTCAGAATGAAACCAGAAAAACCTGCCTCTTTTGCACTGTAGATGTCTCTTCCATGTGCCAAATGTGGAGATTAGATGCTACAAATGAAAGCCAAATAAAAAGAAGTATCTGATAAAAGCATGGGTTAGAGGGCTTTCCTAATCTGTGTGAGGTCAATCCAAGGGATGTTTACATACTGTAGATAACCTACTTGAACAAAAATCAGTATTATAGAGAATAAATGGATGTAAGAAAATTACATGTACAAGTTTTGTATATTTGTTAATAATTTTGGTAATAAATATGATGTACTGCATCTCAGTACCTTAGCACTTCTTTTAATAAAAGCTAAATAGAAGGAAAAGTCTATTGCGAATTTGTTTAATTGCTGAACAGGTAGAAGATGGCTTTGTAATCCGGATCTACCTCAGGCTCCCAGGGTTGGGGCTAATTTGTAAGGCAAAAGCAGTGGCAAAGAAGTGTGAGGCTGCATGCTATTTCAGTCGCTAACCATATGAACATTATGGTTGAAACTGTTAAGCTTTTAATGAGCACCCTCCATTTCTTCATCCCTGAAGAGAGCAAAGGGTGGTTTGGTAAGATCAATGGTACAATGGTGAATTTAGCACATATTTTTCATTTTGCAAAAGGGTATTACCCATAGCCGCCAATGAGGCAGGCTTCTGTGCTACTTACATCTCTATTTCATTGGCAAATTGAGCTAACGGATGGTTGCAACCACATTTTATTCATCTTTCCTTTTGCTACAGTAGCTCGCATACAGTAGTTGCTTAACACATACTCCGTGGCTACACGATGGGAAGGATCTCTTTATTTGACATTCTATTACTAAAAAATATTTTACACAACAATCTTCACAGTTGAGGACAAATTGTGAACAAAATCGTTGCCTGAGAGCCTTGATTGTAGCAACAGTTCCCAAATTTTAATGCATCAGAATTACCTGAAGAAATTGTTAAACTACCTCACCCCTAGATTTTCTGATTCAGTCGATTTGGGGCAGTTTGTATTTCTAACATGTTCCCAGGAGATGCTGATGCTGCTGGTCCAGGAACCACATTTTGAAAACCTCTGGTATGCAGTTACTCACTCTCCAAAACATGAAGATTAAACTACATCCCATCTGCATTGGGTCCCATCTTCCCACAGAGTGGTGTTGTGAACTGTTTTCCCAGTACGACATGAAGAGTTTACAGAAATGTATGAGAAAGCTGATGAGGGTCTGGTAGGCAGTAGGATGTGCTTTTTTGCATATTACACATTACATGGTACATTAACAGCCACCAAATTCTCTTCAGCCTTCAGCATACTAACACTTTCTTCTCATGAAAGGCAGGCAGCTCTCACACATCCTCTTCAAGGATAGAGTGCAATGTAAAAATAAATACACTTAACAAAGCAAAAGAAAAAGCATGGACTTGAGTCCAAACTAGGCTTTACAATATACCAATTATATGGATGTAGGAAAATCAACCTCTGTAACATTCTTCCTTCCTACCACAGCCCTGAGGATAATTTTGTGAGTATTTCACTTTGTATTGCTTGTGTTACAACTGAGAACAGCTGTTATCCTAACCACAGGGGGTTATCATGCCCTACATCCTGCAAATGTGGTCCCCATGATATTGGGCATGAAGTGATTAAACAAAATCTCCTGAATCTTCTGGTCCCTGGGAGGATGTTTAATGGTGTAATACAGGAAGTGTGAATGAAGCACAAAATAGATCTATTTCAGCTTCGTACTCTAAGCTAAAAGAGATTCCCACTCCAAATGAATTTTAAAATTCCCTTACTACTGCCACAATGTAATACAAATGCTGATCCCTCTGGGAATAAAGAAAAAGAAAACCATCATCATCTCTATACAGACAATGTGATCAGGTTAAGCTGGAGAGCTGTAAAATCATTCAGCCATTTCTTTGTCAACAGGTACAACAGCTAGCCTGTAATTTACATGTTGGAGGGAAACAGGAGAATCTGTAGATACCAATTGATAAGACTCAATCTGAAACTGTATACTGAATAAGAGCACAAGCAAAGATAAAAATTAGCAATGAATTTTCCACATCTAAAAAAGAGAATATTCAAGCATGGCATATAGCAAAGACAAAGATGGGGTTGTTCACACAAGAAAGAATCTATGAATCCTGAAAATGGAATTCAACAAGTTAAAAATCAGTGCAGGCACATTGATTAAAAGTTGTCATTAGTTCACTAATAATGCAGAACTAGGCCTTGATGACAGAATTCACAGTATTTCCATGTAGTGCTAGGACTATATGAATGTAAGACAGACACACTTTACAAGTAGTTCCCGTTGCAGATTGACTCACTGTCATATCCATTTGTCATTTTTACAATAAAGAACCTTCAACATATTATTATACATAAATACCTAGATTAGGAAAGCTTCTGCTTTATTCATAAAGATCGAGTTTCTGATAGAGGAAGTGGATAAAATTAGGCCAAGTGGTCCTCTTTTTTATTTTTTTAAATTATATTTTAAATTCTATGGTACATGTGCACAACGTGCAGTTCTGTTACATAGGTATACATGTGCCATGTTGGTGTACTGCACCCATTAACTCGTCATTTACATTAGGTATTTCTCCTAATACTATCCCTTCCCCCTCCCCTGACCCCATGACAGACCCCGGTGTGTGATGTTCCCCACCCAGTGTCCAAGTGTTCTCCTTGTTCAATTCCCCCCATGAGTCAGAACACGCAGTGTTTGGTTTTCTGTCCTTGCGCAACATTGCTCAGAATGGTTTCCAGCTTCATCCACATCCCTACAAATGACATAAACTCATCCTTTTTCTATGGCTGCATAGTATTCTATGTTGTATATGTGCCACATTTTCTTAATCCATTCTATCATTGATGGACATTTGGGTTGATTCCAAGTCTTTGCTCTTGTGAATCGTGCCACAATAAACATATGTGTGCATGTGTCTATATGGTAGCATGATTTATAAACCTTTGGGTATATACCCAGTAATGGAATTGCTGGGTCAAATGGTATTTCTAGTTCCAGATCCTTGAGGAATCGCCACACTGTCTTCCACAATGGTTGAACTAGTTTACAGTCCCACCAACAGTGTAAAAGTGTTCCTATTTCTCCACATCCTCTCCAGCACCTGTTGTTTTCTGACTCCTTAATGATCACCATTCTAACTGGTGAGAGACGGTATCTTCATTGTGGTTTCGATTTGCATTTCTCTGATGGCCAGTGATAATAAGCATTTTTTCATGTGTCTGTTGCCTGCATAAATGTCTTCTTTTGAGAAATAGTTGTCCACATCCTTTGCCCACTTTTTGATGGGGTTGATATTTTCTTGTAAATTTTTTAAGTTATTTGTAGATTCTGGGTATTACCCTTTGCCAGATGGGTAGATTGCAAAAATTTTCTCCCATTCTGTAGGTTGCCTGTTCACCCTGATGGTAGTTTATTTTGCTGTGCTCTTTAATTAGATCCCATTTGTCTATTTTGGCTTTTGTTGCCATTGCTTTTGGTGTTTTAGTCATGACATCCTTGCCCATGCCTATGTCCTGAACGGTATTGCCTAGGTTTTCTTCTAGGATTTTTATGGTTTTAGGTCTAACATTTAAGTCTTTAATCCATCTTGAATCAATTTTTATACAAGGTGTAAGGAAGGGATCCAGTTTCAACTTTCTACGTATGTCTAGCCAGTTTTCCTAGCACCATTTATTAAATAGGGAAACCTTTCCCCATTTCTTGTTTTTGTCCAGTTTGTCAAAGATCAGATGGTTGTAAATGTGTGGTGTTATTTCTGAGGGCTCTGTTCTGTTCCATTGGTCTAAATCTCTGTTTTGGTACCAGTACCATGCTGTTTCAGTTACTGTAGCCTTGTAGTATAGTTTGAAGTCAGGTACTGTGATGTCTCCAGTTTTGTTCTTTTGGCTTAGGATTGTCTTGGTAATGCAGGCCCTTTTTTGGTTCCATATGAACTTTAAAGTAGTTTTTTCCAATTCTATGAAGAAAGTCATTGGTAGCTTGATGGGGATGGCATAGAATCTATAAATTACCTTGGGCAGTATGGCCATTTTCACGATAATGGTTCTTCCTATCCATGAGCATGGAATGTTCTTCCATTTGTTTATGTCCTCTTTTATTTTGTTGAGCAGTGGTTTGTAGTTCTCCTTGAAGAGGTCCTTCACACCCCTTGTAAGTTGGCTTCCTAGGTATTTTATTCTCTTTGAAGCAATTGTGAATGGGATTTCACTCATGATTTCACTCTCTGTTTGTCTGTTATTGGTGTATAGGAATGCTTGTGATTTTTGCACATTGACTTTGTATCCTGAGACTTTGCTGAAGTTGCTTGTCAGTTTAAGGAGATTTGGGGCTGAGATGATGGGATTTTCTAAATATATAGTCATGTCATCTGCAAACAAGGACAATTTGACTTCCTGTTTTCGTAATTGAACATGCTTTATTTCTTTCTCTTGCCTGATTGCCCTGGCCAGAACTTCTAACACTACATTGAATAGGAGTGGTGAGAGAGGGCATCCCTGTCTTAACACCAGTTTTCAAAGGGAATGCTTCCAGTTTTTGCCAGTTCAGTACGGTATTGGCTGGGGGCTTGTCATAAATAGCTCTTATTATTTTGAGATACATCCCATCAGTACCTAGCTTATTGAGAGTTTTTAGCATGAAGGGCTGTTGAATTTTGTTGAAGGCCTTTTCTGCATTTATTGAGATAATCATGTGGTTCTTGTCTTTGATTCTGTTTATATGATGGATTATGTTTATTGATTTGCGTATGTTGAACCAGCCTTGCATCCCAGGGATGAACCAACTTGATCGTGGTGGATAAGCTTTTTGATGTGCTGCTGGATTTGGTTTGCCCGTATTTTATTGAGGATTTTTGCATCAATGTTCATCAGAGATATTGGTCTAAAATTCTCTTCTTTTGTTGTGTCTCTGCCAGGCTTTGATATCAGGGTGATGCTAGCCTCACAAAATGAGTTAGGGAAGATTCCCTCTTTTTCTATTGATTGGAATAGTTTCAGAAGGAATAGTACCAGCTCCTCTTTGTACCTCTGGTAGAATTTGGTTGTGAATCTGTCTGGTCCTGGACATTTTTTGATTGGTAGGCTATCAATTATTGCCTCAATTTCAGAGCCTGTTATTGGTCTATTCAGGGATTCAACTTCTTCCTAGTTTAGTCTTGGGAGGGTGTATGTGTCTAGGAATTTATCCATTTCTTCTAGATTTTCTAGTTTATTTGCGTAGAGGTGTTTATAGTATTCTCTGATGGCAGTTTGCATGTCTGTGGGGTCAGTGGTGATATCCCCTTTATCACTTTTTATTGCACATA